CATAGGGTCAAATTTGACTGTTACACTGGTTTTACAGCTGCTTCTTTCACAATAATCAGAGACTTAAAAAGTAAAACAGGCAAAACCTTTTTTAATGAAGGCTCCAAATAGGGAGCCTTCTGGGTGTGCTTGAGATAATAAAAAAAAACTTATATTTAAATTTCTGAGCATCAGTGATATTTTTAGTGTCTCATTTTAGATTTTATGTTCCTGAGCCCTACAGCAGATACAGTCACTCATGTTTTATCATGCATAGTAATACAATATTTAGCTTTTGCTAAAATGATAGTTCTTACATCACTAAAAAAATTAAACCGCAAGAAAACCAAAATCTTCCATATGATTTCTTTGAAAACTTCTGCTTTTTTTTGCATGTTAGCGACTTTCAAAGTCTTTGGGAAAATGTTTCAAGTACACTGCTCTGATTTTAAATTACTTCACAGCATCCACCCTGAAACGTTTCTTCCTCACCAGTGCAGCGCAGCAAAACTCCTTCAAAGCATAAAAGCAAGATTTTTGCTAATTTAGAAAACAAAAATCCTTCACTTCTAAAGGAAAAGCAAAAATAAAATTCTAAATTATAAGTTATAAAAGCCTCAGCTGGGATTGAGGCTTTCTATAGCTAACCAGAATGGTTTGACTATCTTCAACATGAAGAAATAATAAATGCCCACAGAGATGTGATTCTGACCATGGCATAGGAAAACTACTGCGAACTTAATAAGGAAATAAAAAGCCAGACACAGCTAAGTATTTATAATTCATGAACAAACACAATTATTTCAGTAGCCCATATAATTTCTGTAGGCAATCATCACTTTGCAGGGACCTCACCTCTGGTTATGCCCCCAGCACTTACACACTAATCAGGATTAGGCTTGGTCAAGCACTTAGAAGTAAGTTTGTTAAAGCACAGCACCTGGATGCTGCTGGCTGATTGTAGCTCATTCCTCTAATAAGAAACAATACTGCACAGGGTGGTTAAAGAGTTGTATTAATCTAGGTGATAAATTGCAAACAACTATGGGAAGCACCTGAGGTCATTGAAAATTCTGCAGCACTTACACAATGGAGATGCTCAGGCTCACACAAATTTCCACATGAAATACATTAACCTTAATGAGCACCATGGCTAATAATCTCAGCAGGGGCTAAGGATTGTTTGTAGAGCAGCTCTCCAAAGGTTGCCCCCACTTCAAAAGCATGCCAGTGCCTGACACAGTAGAGTTTTTTCTCAGTGGAAATCTTTTACTTTATCCAAATTTGCATTCAATATTTTTATTTATTAAAAATATTAAGTATATATTAATATAATTTTACTAGCTGTTGTTTGATGGTCCACAGCAATTCTGTCTCTGAAAATGTTCTCTTTCTCTGGATTATTCAACCAATTTGCTGTCTTCCCAGATTTATAACACAGTCACTCTCCTATATAGCTATATCTAAATCAGCCTCAGTCTCTAAATGCAATGCCTTTTATCTTCTTTTCTGCTACAACTACATTCTGACTGCACAAAGACTTGGCAGCACAAAGAGCAAACAAATGGCCTTGAGAGTCATGAAATAATACTGGTTGCAAGGCTTTTTTAAAAAGAGCTTTTTAATCAGATGCTGCTATTATTCTCTGAATGATACAAGGTTTTATTTTGGAAGTGATGTGGCAGTAAATGCAATTTGGATATTTTACAGAAGAATGTTTCAGGGGTAGCTACACCTAAACCTCCCTCTATTATAATGCAGATACCAGTTATCACTTAAAAATATACAGGAAAGATCTTTTTGATTTGTGAACACTAAAAATCCAGCTTTAAACCACTACTTTAAACCACTTGCAACTTTGGAACAGAAGCTTTCTACACATCATGCAAATATCTTACTGAGCTGAACACAAAAGGGGATACTGAACACAGTGAGATAGATGGAAAGGGAAGAGTAACAGCTGACTGCCTTGGTGAGAAAGTGGCCAAATTAAAAAACTATACTGAATGGTGTTAGTTTATCATACAAAGACATTTAATTTATTTAATTATTCTCTGTGGGCAGCTATAGCACCACAAGACCCTAGCACATTCAAGGAGATGAGCACAGTGGACAAAGGACTCCTTCAGAGTGCAATATTTAATGAAACTTAAATTAGGTCTCAAAGGACCAATAGAATGTATAAAAAATATAGCACTGACACTGAGCCATTCTGTCACATGCATGTTTTAAAGTAATTGTCATCAAATTCACAGATGGCCCCAGAAGATTTAAAGGCATTTTTAATATAGCTTCCATACATGTAACTTTTTTTAATTCATATGTCATTATAATTTCTTAACATGATGCACAGGACAGAAGGATAAGGAAAAATCTACAGCTAAGACTGAACACTTCCTTAAAGGAATAAAAGAAAATAGTTTTGTTTTCACTTCATTTTTAGCAATGAAGTGAAAGGCTACAACATTTTTATTTCTGTTTGCCTCTGTGAATTTATATATGTAAAAAAAAGTTAAGAGAGTATGCATTAATATTTTAAACACTGCAAAATAATGGGAAGGTATTATTGCCTAATAATATATTTCATATATTGTTATGTTTCTATGTATTTATGTGGTAAAAGAAGCAAATAATACTGAACAAAATACCCAAAGCCCAAATATAAACCTGAATTCAACCCATTCTCTAATAAAAAAACTTACCTGTTTTTTTTAAATCACTTCCATAAAAAACACTAATTCAGTGTAAAACAAAACAGTATGCAGAAGTTAATTATAAGTAAAACATTTTAAACAGGAGGAATCCACCTGTATTCACAAATTTGCTGTTATCAAAATAAAAATAAAAAAGTTTTCCTTTTTTCAAGTAGCTATGCAAAAAGATAGACACTTAAAACCTAGCATCAAAAACATGAAAAAAACCCATGATTTTGAAATTTACAGTTTTGAAAATTATCACACAATCAAAATTATTTTGAAGCAAAGAACTGAAATTATAAAACAAAGGACAACAAGATGGTATAGTTCAGGGTTCTGTTTCTTTGGTGTATTGTACCTATTTTGTTCTGTAATGCACTCTCTTCCAAATCCAGTGAATCTACATTCACTCAAGCCAGAGGAAGAAAGACTACACACCACAAGACACGGAAACCTAGAGACACTACCACAACAACTAAACAAAACAAAAACCCAAAACAAAACAAAACACACACACACAAAAAAAAAACCAAATAAACAAACAAAAAAAACCACCAAAAAAACCCAAACAAACAAAAAAACAAAAACAACAAACACCTATGCTAGTCCAGAAGGTGATGAAGAGAACTAAAGACAAATTTGGGAGTAAGAAATGAGGTCTGGATCTTCAAGATTTGACTGCTTATTGGAGACAAACCAGAACACCAGAAAGTAAAACAGACCTTAACCAAAAGTAAAGTAAAAGCTCCTCACTCAGCTGTAGTGCCACTTCTCCCAGCACTTCAGACATACATTTTTGAGAATTCTTAAGTGTGCTGCAGTGTGGTAGGCAATTTTAAACTCTGCATTTTCTACCAGCCATCAGTTTTAAGGGATTTTGGCTGAATGTGCCTGTGATATCAAGTTACTAACTGTTAGAACTAGTTGCATAGACAAATCCAGACAGGATGCTCCAACAGTTATAGCCCAAAGGATATCTACTCCTCCTGTAAGTCTCAGTCCGTGTAACTTCCCACGGACAAGGATCACGCAAGTGTGTAATGAAGTAATGCCAGCAAGCCATAATGTGGGGGACACTGTAGTGAAGTGCACTGATTTTATTCTCAAAACCAAACTCAAAATAACCAGATCACGCAAATGTTCAAATTAAATTTTTGCAGCTTGACTGAATCAAGGGATTGTTTACTGCAGTCTATGAGGAAGAAGTAGTTTGAGGAAATACTCTATATATTTTCTGACTTCTGATATTAATTTGAATTCTACTGAAACACTTCTCCCGCTGTGCAGATAAAATAAATAAATAAATCTGCAGATTTATTTTATAATTTATCTGTCAAGATATGTGTAAACAGAAAAAATTGTTTATTCAAACTTCCAGAGAACTTAGTACTCTTGCAAAAAAAGTCCATTTAATGTAAGTGTCACAGGAGATTAGTTAAAAAGAATTGCACATCCTATTAAGGAAGTCTGGGATCTCTGCTCTTTTGTATGCACCAACATCTGCAACTTTTGAAAAAGATGCCTGACATTTCTAGCACATGAAATGCCTGACACATTTCTAACATTCTATCTTAAGTTCTGTCTTGTCCTATTTTGACAGATTCTTTTCATTATTTGGGTATTCACACTTTACTGGAAACTACTATTACAGCAAGACATTTTTATAGATACAGTGGTCCTTGAGCTAGTATTTTTGAGAATTCTTAAGTTTATAAAACAAACACCGTAACCAGACATCACCACACAGACTTTTTCATCAGGAAGATATTGACTGCACTGGGCCAAACTGCTTTTCCATTTTGAGAACGCACTTGAAGCTGCAGATCCACCTACTTAACAAGTACTAGTGGCATTTATGATTAGAGGGGTATGTTGACATTATGTGAAGTAATGGCTCTTTTCAGTAGTTACATTCTCAAAGATACTTACAGAAAATGATGGAATTTCACCTTCTCACATTAGTTTCAACTTGAACTGAAACAGACCTTGGCTTTTAAAGTTTTAAGAAACCAATCTCAAACCTGAAGGCATAAGCCAGCCTTTAAAACACATAAAAAATAAGACAACATTACAAAACCAAGCTCTGCCTCAGTTCTTTTAAAAGGTATCTTTCAACCAGCAAATTTTCTAGCAAAATAAATTTTCTAGCAAATTTTTCTAGGTCTGAACAATAACGGATTTTCTTCCAAATAGCAGATAATTAAGAAGGTACAACAAAAACCCCCAACTCTGTGGACTTTGAGAATGCATAGTGCAATGACCTGAAGAATGCTTCACCTACAGCTCCAAAAAATCCCTGTTAAAAATTCACACTTCAGACAATAATTTGGTGTGTCGTAAGTTTATTTAGTAGCTGCAGTTTTGTGTGAAACTGTGAAATTCAAATCAGCATTCACGTGTGAGGGTGAACGAAGGCCATCATTACAAATACAAGTAAAGTGTCCAAGGCAATTCATAGTGCAAATGATCACCAACTTTTACTGCAGCACTGACAAAAGCTTTTAAGCTTCCTCCACACCTCTTCCTAACATACATCAACTACTAAGAACTAGTCAGTCTCCCCGGCTCTTGAAGCCTGCATGACAGTTGCTAACTCAAGAGAAAAAGATGATCCACAGCTCCACAGGAGGCACAGTTCAACACTGTGGGATGACACGAGATCAAGTGTTCTGCTCACCGCGGCTCTTTTCTCCACAACAGCCGCTTTGAGAGACTCCTCTCGCGTTCCAAGCCTCAGCTTCCCATATCAACCTGGGTATACACCTGGGAAAATACTAACAAACCAGAACTCCTCCTCCACCCTTTCCGTGGGAAGGGCCTGTTTCAATCCAGGGAGCTGAGGGGAACCCCGCGCCGCACGGGGTCACAGCCGGCAGCGAAGAGGGCGTGACCCGCCGCAACAGCCTGCGGGCGGGGAGGGCCCGCAGCACCAGCCGGAACCGGCCCCTCCACCGGAGCCGGCTACACGGCCGGTACCAGGCTCTTCTTATCCAGCGGCTGCTCGTCCTCCTCTAGCAGCAGCTCCTCCAACTCCCCTTCCTCGGCTCCCGAGGCCTCGGGCCCGCCGGCGGCCCAGCAGCGCCGCAGATGCCGCAAGGCCCGGCGGTGCTTCTCCTGCAGCCGCCCCAGCTGGGCGCGCAGGGCCTCCGCCTCCTCGCCCGGCTCGGCGAGGGGCTTGTCGGGGCCGGGCCCCAGCAGGGCCTGTCGGAAGAGGCAGCGGTTCTCGCGGCGCAGGCGGCGATTCTCCAGCCGCAGCCGCGCGTTCTCCTGGCGCAGCCGCGCGTTGTGCCACTCGCGCTCCTCCCGCTGCCGGAGCGCCTCGCTGTGGCTGGCCGCCAAGTCCGCGTACCGCTCCGCCAGCTGCTGCGGCGAGCCCCGCGACTCGCCCCGCCAGCCCTGCCGCCCGCCGCCCGCCTCGGCCTCCTCCGCGGCCCCACCGCGCCCGCCGCTCCCGGGGCGGCCGGCAGGGGGCGCGGGGGAGCGCCGCTTTGCCGCGCGCGCCACGGCGCCGGAACCGCGGGTGCGCTCGCCGGGGGCAGCCGCAGGCCGCGGCCGGGGCTTCCTCCCGGCACACCGGGCCGGGAAGAGCCGCGTCCAGCCTGCCCAAGGCTGGAACAGCCACAGCTTCTCCAAGCAACCTGTGCCAGTGCCTCTCAGTAAAGACCTTCTTGCTTAGGTCTGGGATAAACGTGCCCTCTTACAGCTTAACGCCATTTCCACTTACCCTGTGTCTATGTGCTCTTGTGAGAAGCCCCTCCAAGCTTCTTGTAAAGCCCCTTTGGAGGGTGCTGTAAGGTCTGCGTGGAGCTTTCTCTTTGCCAGGCTGAACAGTCCCAACACTCTCCGTGTGCCAGAGGTGCTCCAGCCCTGGCATTCACCTAGTGGCACTCCTGCTGTTGTTATAGCAGCTCACGGTCATTCTTGTGTTGGGGACTCCAGAGGTGAGCGCAGCTGGACAAAAAGGCTTGGAATACAACAGCCCAGGCAATTCTGGGCCGGACAAGGACTGGTTTAACTGTCAGATCTTTTGCACAGTCCTCCAGTGTTCACATGGGCCTTCTTACCATTACTTAAAAGTCCCTTCAATTTTCTTTGTCTGTTGCCCATTAAATAACCACACATGTTGATATCTGCAGATAAGCAGTCATTTTTGGATTATTATGATGGCACACTACATATCATTGTGGGCTTCTCTGTATATTTTACTCTTCAGATTGTAAACTGTTTGTAATGCTTTTCTTTGTGGTACAATGTTCAGTTAATTACCAGTTGAGTCTTGAGTATGGACCCTGAAATTGAAGTTGGAGAAACAATAAATGACAGTAATGGTAATAATTATTTTAAGAAACTTTTCAGCTCTAAATGATAGCCACTTATTTAAGACATTTAGAAAAGAAACAGCAAAGCACTGCAGAACAGAAATAATCTTAGTTTTACTGTAGTTTCGCTGTGACTACTAATCAGCAGAAATGAACAAGTATTTCTTGTACTAAGCCATTTTCCAAGAAGAGATTGACTAGGGCATTACAGAAGTTCTGCATGATAAGTGACTGAACCAGTTTTGCATTGAAAGAAACATGTTAATACCTGTTTATTACTCAGTACATAATGTTGCTGCTTTGTAAATTTATGAACATACCCACTCATAAAACTTCAGTTTGAACTATAAACTGAATCCAAAATAGCACTGAAACTCTTCCATGTGTGTGGAAGTGGACCAGGGCTTTGCACTCCACAAAAATAGTGGAGAGAGTAACATAAGGCTGGAGCTTTTGATGACCAGAAAATTAAATTGCGGTCATTTTAACAGCACCTTACGCTTTGATCCAAATTCCTCAAGTCTTTCAGAGAATGTTGTTGTCATGGGTCTCAGTTTTGTTTATTCATTTGTTTTAGTCTTTTCATATGCCTTTATTATATGCTGGAAAATACATGCATATATACTTGAATAAGGATTGATAGTCTATATTCTTAGAAAAGTTAGATGGCGTATCAGAAGACTAATGACTGAGTTTCATATTTCTTTGACAATGTTTAAACACTGATCTGATGTTTGTAGTTTAAGGAAAATGACAGAAAGTCATTTGGATTCAGGAAAGATGATAAATGAACATAGAAAAACTTTCATAATGAGATAGGATCACACTAGAAAGTGTGAAGGGGAAAAGTGCAAATGGAGAAGTAACCAGAGAAGTTGTGATTAGTTGTACAGTTTTCAGTGATTTTTTTGCTCACTGAATACCTGTGAAGGCCAAAATATTTTTTGGAATACAACAGCAGTACAGGAATGGTATTATTCCTTTTGATTAAAGCTCTGTGTTTACTTAATGGTGTCAGGTCTGTGTAGATACTAGAAAGTGACAGTGCTTGTGGACTATCTGCTGGCATTAATTTTGAACCCTGTCCAACCTGCACAGGAAAATTACTCTAGAAAAACACCTCACAAGAAAAATAAAAACTCTTTGTGTCTATCATTCCCTTACAACTGAATCCATACTTTGAAGTGAAGGGAATTCAAACAATGCTGCTGCTTTTTAAAATATTATATTGAGGGGAATATTCTCCCTTGGCTTAAGTAGAAGATATACTTAAAGGCCCAAATTGAGTTTAGTTAAATTTTTTTTGGTGTATTTCTTTTTTTTCCTCTCAAGTTATTGAGTAATAGAATGGTTTGAGTTGGGAAGGATCTTTGAAGGCCATCTAGTCCCAATCCCTGCAATATGAAGGGACAACTTCTTCCATGTTAGGCTGCTCAGAGCCCTGCCCAGCCTAACCTTCAATGATCCCAGGCATGAGGCACCCACCAGTTCTCAAGTAACTTGTTTCAGTGTGTCACCACTATTACTGTGCAAGTGTCTTTCCTGTATGTGGTCTGAATCTACCCTCTTAAAGCAATTACCCTCTGTCCTACCACTATAGACCCTATTAAAAAGTTTGTCCCCATCTTTCTTTAAGACCTCATTAGGTATTGGAAGTCCAAAATAGTCTCCCTGGAGTCTTCTTTTCCAGGCTAAACAACTTCACCTCTCAGCTTTTCCTCACAGGAGATGTGATTCAGCCATTGACATGGGTCGACCGCTCAGAGATGTCTGCGGCTAGCCTTCGGGCTGGTTTGGGTGGCAGTACAAGCAGGGCTGCTTGTCTCCCTGAAGTAGCAGACTGCTCTGTAAGGCTACTGATGTTTTCCTGAGCCAAGGAATCCAGAGCAAAAGAAAGAGAAGGATCATTTGTGTACGTTCCCAAGAGCTTTTAATCTCTGAGAGGGTACAAGTGAGAGCAAATACAGGGTTAGAATAGCTTAAATCTGGGGGAGGGAATATGGGGAGGATACAAACTTGGACGTTTTGATGGTGGAGAGGACCCCCAAGGTTGTGAATGCCTGCACAAGGTGTTTCTGTGCATCCGCAGCTTTTTGGCTTTTTCCCCTGTGTGGGCTGAGGCAAAAACTGCACCAGAGAAGGTATCCACTGACACATGAACATATTTAAATCTTCCAGATTCACTGATATGCATGACATCTGTCTGCCACACTTCACAACTGTGGAGTGCTCTGGGATTCACTCTGTAACTCAGCGATGGTAGAGCAGACTCCTGACAGGGCATGTGGCCACAGTCACCTTGGCCTGGTGACACCACAGCTGGAATTGGCGGACCAGACCAGGAGCATTCTGATGGAATTGTTGATGGCTTAGCTGTGCCTGCTGGAAGATGTTAGGTTGGCCAACCAGCTGTAAGGGCATGGCTAGGGTGTCTGCTCTGCCATTTCCTTCTGCGATAAAACCTGGGAGATCTCACATGCATTACAAAGAAGGGTTGCTCTCGGTGGGAAACCAAATAAATCAGTCGTGAGAGCAAATCGAAAATGACCTGGTTAGAGAGTTCTTTCAGCACAGAATGTTCTGCTCTGGACACCACACCAGTTACATAGGCCGAATCTGTTACAATGTTAAAAATGTCTGTGAAATCTTTCAAAGGTCCTGACAACTGCGTCCAACTCAGTGACCTGCGGAGAGCCCTCTATAACTTTCACACTGGCTACCCACTGCTGAGTTTGAGGGTCTTTCCAAGTCATCACTGACTTGTGGGACCCTCTGGACTCATCTGTAAAAACGGTAAGTGCCTTGAGCGAAGGTCTGCTTTGGATGTTTTTTGGGATCAGTTTAAATTCAGTGTTAAACAATTTGTGGCCTGGATGGTTAATTAGAATTTGACCTGGGTAACTGTCCAGGGCGAAGTGCAAGCTTTTCTCTCTGAGCAAATGCTCTAAAGTCTCTTTGGTCAACCTTGCTGTAGATGTTTTGATGGGGAGGTGAATGCATATGAAATTGCACCCCACCAACAGTCGCAGACGAACCCTAGCTCTCAGGATCAGCTGGGCCATCAACTCCTGTGTCCTGGTGATACTTTTGGACAACTGGTGACCAAGGAACATCCACTCTATGATCAAGGGGTGATCCTGTTGGTCTGTGTCCCACTGAAATATCAACCAATGGAGGTGCAGCAGGTTACCTAGAATGATGAGTCAGAATGGCAGGCCTTCACAGCACCAGTGGGCTTGCTGGCCTGCTGAGGTGGATTGAACCTTCTCAAGTGCGGTCCTGGCCTCCTGGGTCAGAATCCTCAGGGAATCTAATTTCTCCTCTCCCCTCAATAAGTTGAAGAGAGGGGACAGATCTCCTGTGGTGAGCTCTAGCCAGGGCCTAATCCAGTTCAAAGACCGGCACAGTTGATGGAGGTGCTATAACATCTTTGGATTGTTACTTATCAGTGGTCTCTGGGGCGTGATGGTTCCGTTGGCTGATCTCAAGGCCTAAATACTTCCAAGGCAGTAGGCACTGCATTTTCTCCTTTTGTAACTCAAATCCTGCCACTGACAAGGCTGCAATAGTGTCTTCGAGGATGCAGGCAAGTATGTTGCTGTCGGGCACAAACAAGAATATCGTCCATATAATGAAAAATCAGGCAATTTCCTGCTCTGGCCCACTGGGGACAGAACTCTTGTGACATACCACTGGCAGATAGTAGGGCTGTTCTTCATCCCTTGCAGGAGAATGCACCAGTGGTAACGTCTCACAGAAGCCTCTCTTTGATGGACGGCACAGAAAAGGCAAACCGTGGCGCATCAGCCGGATGTAGAGGAATTTGAAAGAAGCAATCCTTTATATCAATTACTGCCAATTCCCAATTTTATGGGAGCATAGAAGGGGAAGGCATCCCTGGTTGGAGGGATCCTGCAGCGGCGGCGGCTGACCTTAAGGTGCAACCTGGCTAGCTGCGGCCAGCACCACCGGCAGCACGGGGGCACTCTCCCGATCCGGGGCTCGGTCAGGGGAGCGCCTAAGGCTTTCGCCTTGAGGGACAAGGACCTGCGGCTAAGAGAGATAGGGCTGCTAACCCACAGGAGGCAAATGAAGAGACGGACTCCAGAGGTAGTGCAGTCTGGGTTTAATGTCCAGGGGAGCTACCAGCTGGAGACAAGCCAACTGGGCTTCGACCTGGGTTTTTAAAGTGGGGCGGATACAGAGAGGCAAAGTGGTCTTCAGCAAATCAGAGAAAAAGTGGGTGTGGTGGTAGGATAACAGACACATAGGGAAAACCAATGAGGGTAGAGCAGGGGTGGAGTCCTGGCCCCTGATCCAATCACTCGATGCCCAGGATGGAAGATTCTAGACAGAAGGGTTGGGGCACTGAGTGACAGACAGGGAACCAGGGAGGGACTGAGGGAATGGATACATTGATTACTAGGGGGTAACAGGGAGGAGAGAGGTGACCTACGGGGCGATCAAGGAGAGAGAGAGCCAGGGCAGAACCATTACAACAGAAAGGGGTGTAAGGAACAAACCAAACTGGAATACAGCATAACAAAATACAATA